GTTTAATATGGGACGGTCCAAAAAGGAAAGTGTAAAGTTAATTAAGGACCGGAGGGAGTATCTATTTATTAATGGGGGGGCAAACAAAGAATTATTTGTTCTAAAAAACAGTAAGAACGATTTAGAGCCACATGGACTTTACCAAATTCGGTATAAGACAATCATATTGGGGTTACATTTCGGACCAAAATTGAAACTGGGTAGCCGGGTATTAGGTCAAACCACCCGGGCTAGTCCGGTTCTTTATACAAAGGTCATATGTGCACAGGTAATGAAGTTTGAATACCATACTACATCATGAGTTTCACTCGAATAAACTGCAAGAACAAGTGCTAAGGGTTTAACAAAGTGAGATAGACAAGTAGGAATGGATTCGGGCCGGGCCGCCGGTTTGTAAGTGATGGGCCCGGGACCGGCCCGAGGTCTGGACGGTTCCGGTTCGGGCCGGGCCACCTGCCGGGCCGGGCCGGTTAAATCCAATTTTTTTTAAAAATAATTTATACTTTATAGTTTTATACAAGTATTAAAAACAAACTTCAAGTGCATTTATTTGAAATGAAATAGGAACTACATTTGACAAGTTACAATTGAGAATTGTAGGTAAAATTAAAACATGAAATACTAATAAATCAGAATCTCCGTAATAGGTAGAGCCACCCTCGGTTGTAGATTCATCCATACAGTGTTGGGATGGGGTGATGTCAATTTCTTGAGTTCTACGGGCCGCCTTCAACCAATCGTGGTAGCATATCAGCATCTCAAGAGATTCTGCGCTCAACCTCGTTCTACATTGCGTTAGGACATTGCCGGCTGAACTAAATTCTTGTTCCACGGCAACTGTTGAAACCGGCATTGATAGCACTTGCTTAGCCATCTTTGCTAAAACCGAGAACATTCTTTCTTTTCCCTTCCGCCAGTTTAGAACGTCAAAATCATCATCTTCTTCAAAATCAACATCATAAGTTAAATACAAAGAAAGTAGCATAATTATAATTCAAATATTCTTCTAAAGAACCAAGTCTAAAACGAGGATCGAGAACAAATGCAATACCATAAATATGCGGAATATGTGAATAATATTTTAAAAATTTTTCCTTCATAAAACTAGCAAAATAACTCACATAATCAGCATTCTCAAAATTTGAAAAAAGCACCGGCGAGATTAAACAATTCGTGTGTAAACTAATTAACAAATCAAGTAATGTTAATACAAAATTAAACAAGTGTAAATAATAGAATGATTTCGTACCTGTTTCGGTCTTTCGGATGGGAGTAATAGAATGACTTCGAATTAATTAGATATAATTCCAACTGTATTAATAGATATAATAAATGTATAAGTAATATATAATTAGATAAGAAATATAAGTAATATAATGTATGTATTTATAAGCAGATAATTAATATAAAGTAGATATATAAATATAATATAGGAAAAATTGAATGTAATAATCCCAACTATTGCCGGTCCGCTAACAATAATCCCAACTATTGATTATTTTTGTATAATCCGAACTATATGGACCGTCCGCCAATAATGGTCCATGACCGCATATTACATGCTCTGACAAGTGAACTTTTAATAGAAATTAAGCGTAAAAATTAAAATTTGGAATTATTTAATTTATAGGGATTACCTGCTATATCTCTTTAGAAACTATAGAAATTTATTTATCTTTGGTCATGTCGGACCATTATTGGCGGAAGGTCTATAAAGTTGGGATTATTCTGAGCGGACCGCCAATAGTTGGGATTATTACAATCAATTTTTCCTATAATATATTGGAGAATAAGAGAATTTGAGAAGATGAAGATAATTAGGGAGTAGAGAGTTAAGAGTAGGATTTAGGAAGAGTTGGAGAAGAGATATGGAAAAATGTTTAAGATTATGAGTATTTATAGAGTTTTTTTACCCTACCCCCACCCCCCAAACCTCTTGGACCCCCCTGCAGCCCACCCAACGGCTATATAGCCGTTTGGGTTGTCCCCAACCCACCCCCAACGGTCATTTGGCCCAAATAAAAAAAAAATTAAATAGAGTCGTTGTGACCCGGGCCCGGGCCCGACCCGGCCAGACCGGGTCACGTTTTATAGGAACCGAGCCCGCAACCGCTTAACCCACCGGTTCGGGTCTACTCCCGATCCCGGACCGTCCGATCGGGCCCATTCCGGACCCGCACAGTAGCGAGCCGGGCCGGGTCACAGGCTGGGTGGCCCAAACCGAGTCCACCACTATAGACAAGTAGTACCTGAGTGACATGAGGCATGACAATTTAGTACGGAGTAATTCTCAAAGATACTTTTCTTAGCCTTCACGATTCATTTTTTATTTTCTAATTGCGAGTAATCATTTTTCATGGTGACTTTTATGCTTCTGAAACTACAGAAAAAATAACGCAGTTCTTTTTATAAAATTCATACCCATTTACAAAAATACATAAGGAGTCTTTCTCACAAAAATTCACATCATTCAAAAAACCAGACCAGGAAACACCCCGGCCGCGTGATCGCATCACAGGTCGACTCAGACCTGATCCGATCAACCCGGTCAACACCATAAAACCTGTTAATCATATAATAATAATAAATATATAATTGTATACAAAATAAAAATAAAAATGAGTTATTTCATAATAATCAACTAGAGATAATACTTACTAAACATTTAAAAGTTAAAATATTCTCATAATATTTCAAAGACCATTTTGATCTTATTAAAATATATAATGATACTCTGTATTTGTTATATTTATTGTACATTTATCATATAATTTGACATGTTTTTTGTTCTTAAACAAATAAGAAATACGGAGTATATAAATATATTGCACATTTTTTTTTCTTTTTAGAGTATTGAAATTGGAGTTTTATTGGCTAAAAATGCTTCAAATTCTAAAAAATAATTTTTTTGTGAAAAAACAATGAATATTGGGGTTTTACGGATTTGTCAGGCTCTTCGGGTCCAGGTCTGGACCAGAGTTTTCCGTATCGGCCGGATTTTCCGGTTTTTGACCACTTCTGGATTTGTAATTAATCGAATTGGATTTTGGTCTGGGTTTCGTGTTGACCCGGCTCGTTTGGGTCAATATTTCAAAGATAGCTGGATAGTAATAAAAATAATACTCCGTAGTACATATTTAAAAAATGTGACCTTTTTATATTTGGTCCAGCCCAGGTGGTCGCCGACTCACTCTCCCTTACGGGAGGTCTCAGGTTCAAAACTCAATGGAGTGAATTTCAGCCTATATTACTTCAGACTCACCCAACCCCCTCCCCAGACGCTCCTTGGAGTAAAAAAATGAGAGGGCATGCTTGCGCTCAGAGTACAAGTATTTATTAAATTTACATTTTCAAAAATCATATTTTATCGGATGCAACTCCTCTCAATTTCTTTCTCTCCATTTCTCTCTATTTCCTTTTCACTTCCTATCTATCTCTACATTTTTCTCTATCCTATTCACCAACATACCACACTCTTAATTATCTCCTCTCTATCTCTCTCATAATGGAACTCTCCGGTTAATGGAGATAATCCAAATTCTGTTTTATCATATTAAGTCACAAAACTTAATATTAAATATGGTAAAAATACAATGTATAAAATTATTAATAAAAATTAATTGCGTTGATTAGTAATTATATTTGTAATTATTTGTAAATTTGAATTTGTACTCTGGCTATAGGGCGTCATGGATAGGGATGGCAACGGGGCGGATCGGGGACGGGTACACATAAAACCGAAACCGCCCCGTTAGATAAATGTCTGCCCCAAAACCGCCCCATTACCCATTCGGGTAATTTTTATTTGAACCGTAACCGCCCCAACGGGGAATCGGTTTATCCACGGGTACCCGTTTGCCTAAATGATACCAAATAATCAATTTCTAACCCTACTTGTTAATGTAAACATCCTTCGTAGTAAATTATATATTAAAAGACCATATAATATACAAAAGTAAATGTTCAAGCAATCAAGCAGTTTTAGTCCTAAATTCATTAATATGACAAGCACTCAATATCTCTCATAACATAATAAAAAAAGTAGTAAAAAGAAGAAAAAAAGGAACTGGGTCGAATCCTTGATAATGAGAAAGATAGAAACCACCGGCGGTAGAGCCGAACTGCAGGCCTTGCATCGTTCCATCTAGAAAGATCGAAGAGAGCTGTTCTCACTATTAAGAAGCGGAGCCCTGAACCATAAATCCGTAATACACTGAGTTATGGATGTTAGGGTTTTTGAAGTGGACCTCTGCTATTGTAGTCTTTATATAGTTATATGACATATACGATTTAGTGTACACAATTTAGCATATATACTTATTATTCTTATATATATATAAAGTTATATTTTATTAATAATGTTATGGGTCGAGTAACGGTGCGGATACCCGCACTATTAGTGAACGGGGCGGTTTCGGGGCGGATAACGAGGCGGATTAGTATAGAACCATAACCGCACCATTATCCATTTAAAAAAATCGGGTATTCACCGCCCCGTACCCGTTCCCCAGTCAAACCGGTTTTCCCCAGTTTGACTAAATCGGTTCGGTGCGGGTATCAAACAGATCGGTCGAAATTGCCATCTCTAGTCATGGAGGTATTTTTCAAATAAGTTCAACTAAAAGTCCGTTTGGTAACCATCTTTTTAGACTTATCAACCCAATCAATAAACTTATTCATCAAACACGTAACTTTTGATTTCGTGCGCTAAATTGTGTAATAATAAGAAAAATTAAGGTTGAAGTTATTTTTCTAGTTGTACACTTGTACTGGCTAAAGTTACTACGGAATCATTTTACCTATTTTTTCATATTATTTTCTTGGTTTTATTAATAAAATAAAGAGCTTTTGTCATTTTCGTTCCTTTGACTATTGTGTCATTGACATTTTTTACACTCGACTTTTAATTTTTCAAATTTTAGTGCTCGATTATTGTGTTAGGAAAACTTTTAGTCATGACTTAAAGGTTTCCCGCATTTACTCTCTGAGACAATAAATGGAGGACTAAAAATGTCATTATTATAATAGATGAAGGATCAAGAGTGTTACTTTTATAAAGATCACAAGACTAAATATGGAAATTATCAGTACAAAATGTCTCTAGTGCAATAGTTGAGTATTAAAAGTGAAAAAATCAAAGTTGAGTATAAAAGTGTGAATAACATAATAATCAAAGGAATAAAAGTGACAAAAACTCATAAGATTTTCAATATCTTTTTCCCATAAATCTAAATCTGTTGAATTAGTCGATCCAAACACTTCAATCGTAAATTTCAACCCAGTCATCCAATACAGCCATTTTGATATTACCTGTCTCTAAGTTGTATTGATCTTCCAGCAGAATCCTGTCATCCACAAGAGTTTGTTTTCAAACAGGATGAAAGAAAGAAACTTTTATCCTCGTTCACCATAGTTTTTTTCTTCTAATAATATATACGACACAATATAGTGAATATACAAACAGTATAGCCTAGAATAAACATTAGAATTGAAGAGAATCATCGTTGTTCGGCCTCAACCTCCATGAGATCTACCCACAAGCGATGACAGAGGAGAATTTGCTGGAGAAGAGAGGCAAGAAGCAGCCGATGAATATGATGTTCTTACAGCATTTGCAGAAGAGGACGGAGAGCAGCAGGAAGAAGAACACGAAGGAGGAGAGATCAGTCCAACGAGCAAATCCATAAATGCTCTGACTATAACCCCATGGTTCATCTTCGAATTCATCTTCAAATACCAGCCCAGAAGCTCCTGCAATGAATCCCAATCGTTGATTCCGCTGCTCACCACCATTTCCGCCATTGATTTCTTGAAGTCAAGGTATGGGTCGTCGGAATCCATGGATACCATCACACTCTCTTCGAACGGAGGACCCACATCTCCCACATCTTTCTCCTCTTCTCTCTGTTTTTTAACATTTTCTTGATTTTCCGGCAGGGGTTCCGGCTTGGCTATGGAGGAGCTGGTGCCGCCGCGGTCGAAGAACAGACGGTCCGACCTCACTCCGGTGATGATGATCTGCTCGTCGTCAGACTCCGTCGAGAAGCTAGCGGATTCTGAGGTGCTGTTGGTGAACCATGTCTCCGGCGTCTCGACGCCGTCGGAGCGGTCGAGGTAGACGGAGTTGACGGTCTTGAACATGGCGTCTCCGCCGGAGACGGCGGCGTTGGAGCGAAAAGACAGAGTCTTTGCGTTGGTGCAGGAATTCCATTGCCAGGAATTGAGATTCTCTTCTCTTTCTCTGTTCTTGTTGAAAACGGAAGGGAGTATATGGAGCTTCATCATCTTTTTCTTGGCCATCGGAGATGGAGAATTTCCGGCCGAATTAAAAAATGATTCTTTAAGGGCCTGTTTGGTTTGAGAGAAGTATTTGCTTCGATGAGATTTTCTTGTTGGTTGGTTTGGAAGGAGCTGAGCTAGGATGATTGTATTAATGGTGATCAGATAGAATGGCAGGTGGGAGGGGTGTTATAAAGCAGAGGCGGTGAAGTGGAAGTGGAACCAAACAAAATTTTAAAGAGAAATTATTTATTATTGCCAAAAAAAGGGAAATTATTTATTGACTTAAGTTTGTGTAGTGTACGGAACTATATTTAATGATGTGAACTATTAGGAAGAATAATAAAGTAATTAATTAAGACAAATTCGGTTAACAACCTGACCGAATTTTAGTCTATTGGTCAGTGGAGTAACTAGAGGTTGGGTTAATGGTTCACCCATCAACCTTAAGGCCCTATAGGCGAACATCCCCAACGCCCAAGCTAGTTGGGAGGACTTTCCCCCACCTGACGAACGTCCACGAACATAGCCAACTGAGGTGCCTTCTCCCTATTGTGGTGAGGTTCGTCCCCTACAGAATCAACCCAACATCATACAGGCCGCCAAGGCCCAATGAACATATGTTAGGGGACGCATCTACCCAAGGGCGGCGAGGCAACTTGGTCCGGAAATGTTGCAAGACGCTCGAGACTTTGAACTTGGGGCCAGCAGAACCCATGAGGCAAGCTCATGGAGATGCTCGTCCCCACCCTTAGGCGGTAAACCTAGATTCTGGCGGGAAACACATTTAATACAGAAGATTTGGTGGTTGGGATCCTAGCCATGCACAGCCTACCACATCAGCATGTCTAACCACCCATTGGTGGTATAAATAGTATTCCCTCCATCTCACAAAACATGACCAAAATTGATTGGCACGTAGATTAATAAAGTAAAAACTGGGTGGTTGATATTTGTGTAGAGGAAAGAGAAATAACTTTAGTCACATATTCCTTACTTTAAAGGGAAATGACAAAGTTTTTTGGAACGACCAAAAAAAGAAATTTGACCAAGTTTTAAGGGACGGAAGGAGAAGCATTTATTTCATTGTAAATGATTGACAACTTAATTAGCACCCTAACATTATAGCAATTGTAAGGGAAAAAGGGCAAATATGCCCACGTACTAACAAAAAAGATCAAATAAGTTCTTATATAGGAGGCTCTGTCCGGCCGTTCCCATTTGGGGTAGTTTCCGGTGGAATTTTTTTATGATATATTTTGAGAATCTTATTCATTAAGTCTAGTTTACTCATACCAAATTTCAGCTAACAATTCAATTGGGAAGGCATTCAAATAAATTCTTGAAGATAACTGCGCTTTTAACTGCGGAGTTATCTTCAAGAATTCATTTGAATGTCTTTCCGATTGAAGTTTTACATGAAATTTGGTATGAGTACACTAGACTTAATGGATAATATTCTCAAAAAATTACATCAAAAAATTCCACCGGGAACCTCCCCAAATAACGACGGACGGACATAGCCTCCTATATAAGGGCTTATTTGACTTTTTTTGGTTAGTACGTGGGCTTATTTGCCCCTTTTCTCCAATTGTAATCAACTCATAGCATAGCATTGTACGAACAGCCTCAGAGCTTTGTAACGATTGCATCGTATTGAGATTCTTTATTGAACCTCGTCTTGCTTGTTTAGTCATCTAATCACCAAACGTCCACTCGAAATCCTTAGGTTCGTGTTGGGCCTACCGGTTGAAGGAATAAACCTTAACACATTGATAATATTTCAGTTTGGAAGCTAGCCAACTTTTGAAATTTAAGAAAGAAATTTACAAAAGTGAATTACTCATAATACGGATAAATATATGATTAATTCTAATAATAGAATAAAATAGTTAAAGAAGTAAGAAAATGATCTTATTTTGAGAAGATGGTATTCCCATTAGAGGAATTGTATTATGTATAGATAATTTAGATATTTAAAAATGTGTAAAGGTTTAACAGAGATATCTTGTGAGACTCAAGGTGAGACAACCGTGAAAGAAGACATTTCCACTTTTTCTTTTTCTTTTTCTAAAAAGTATCATGGGAACATTAGCTACAATCGTGTAAAGGCAATTTGGTTAGATGCAAAGCGTACTAGCTGAAGTATCTGTATATACGAAGTATGTAGTAAAATCGTTGGGTATTGGATGAATTGATTGAATATTTTGAATTATAGAAAAAATATTTTAGAACATATTTTATTAATTAATACCATAAAGAGAGAAAATTACAATAAAAATTAAATTTATTACCATCATCATCAATTTCATTATTTTCATAAGAAGCCTTCAATTTACATTTTTTCCCATTATTTAAGAGTCTTGTGCACCAGTGCACCACGTCCATGAAAATAGAAATAATCTGAATATACAATACTAAAATAAAGATAAGGGATAAAATGTGACATCTTGATCTTATACACTAGTCTATATACACACGCATATACATATATATTGATGGACTATATGGGTCTGGACCCCAGGGCCCACATACTCAGGAGAACAGAAGGTACCACGATCACCTGGTGGGACCCTCGTCTGTCAGATGACCCCCATCGGCCAGAAAGAAGTCTACTCAGAATATGACTCAGAAGCTAGGAGAGCCGGGAGACCTCGTCGGCCGGGTCTTCGTCGGTCATGCCCTCGTCGGCCTTACCTACGTCGGCCAGAAATAGCCTC